AGCACGACCTGAGGTCGAGCCTCTCCCCTCGCGCTGTCTTCTGGCTGCTCCCAAAGCCTTGTTTTTATTAATTTTTTTGCAGGTTTACGGCCAAGGGTCTGGCCTGGACTGCAGACGCCATGTCCAGAAGTTAAACTTGCTGCAGGGTGAGGCAGAAGAAGCAATTGTTTGGACATCTCGGTAGGGTGTTTCATCTGCTTGTTTGTTTTGATGTGCTGCAGTTGATGTGCCTCTTCACATACTGGGTGCCTGTTGCCCAATTCGAGCTCACAGGAGGGTTTTTCTGCCCTGTTGCAAAGCCATGACACATGCCGGTTTTGTCATTGCCTCATAGGAACAAGCTATTTTTAATTATTTAATTGATTATTTAACTATTTATCCTGGCATGTTTCTTTTTGAGAAGGAATTTTTTCAGATAAGTTTAGCTGATCAATGATGTGCGTTGGTCCAGCCTTTACCTATTAAAATACATGCAACAGGGTTTGTTTTTTGTTTATTTCTTTTTAATTGGTCTTTCTTGTTCAGTGTTTGATGAGCTGACCGTGGAGATGTCCATCTTACGGACTGACAAGCCATGCAGAGGTGCAGCCTCAGAGGGAAATCATCCTCCACTCTAAGCTGTTGCTACCTAACCGTTGGCATCCAGGGTTTTCAGTCTGTGAATCTACTCAGTAATAGCTGCTGCTGTTGACAAAAATACTTGTTTAGTGCAAACATTTGGGTGTAATTCCTGCAAAAAAAGCTGGAAAATCTGAGTAGCACTTTCCTGTTTATTTCATTTCTGAATTTGTTTACAAATTGCCTAATCTTGAACTGGTCTTGAACTGGTCCAGCTTCCTTTTTACCCAAGGTTATTTTCAGAAATCAGTCAAAGCTAGTTAGATAACTTAGCTGTGTATATGTAGTGCTTCAGGGTTAAGCTTTGGGAAGAAAATTTATTGCTCACTTTATCAAAAAGGGTTGCTATTTCTATTCTCAAAACATTGTGAAATTCAAAACATTGTGAAATAACTTCCCTTTTTTCCTTGGTTGCTTGGGATATAATTAGTGTGTTTAAGCTGTTGTCCCAAAGACACACTGTTATATCCCTAGTTATGATCAATTAGAATTTATCATTTCATGCTTTAGATCGAACTTGCTACTCTATTTGTATAGAAAGAAGGAGGGCAACCCCCTAATTAGATTTTTTTTCAAGTATTTGGGCAATATATCTTGCAAATCTTTCATTTGACATCTGCCTTTCTATAGATCCTGGTTTTTTCTGACATGCTGCCTATCCAGTGTTCCTATCCATGCTTTCCTTCCAGTCCCTTGTGCTATGACTAGGTGATTTGAAAATTATAAATCAAGAGACAGAAGTGTATTCTAGAAACTCTAGTTTAAACCTCTGTTTTAGGTGCATAGAAGAATCTGTAAATGACAGCAAAAATATAGCAGCCCAGTGTGAAGACAGTTTGGTCCAGCAGGTAAGATACCTCCAGAGCTGAGGTAAATACTAACCCATACTGACCTCGGTGAACCAAGGTGAAATCAGTGCTCCCTTTGTATGGGTTGTTCAGACAGCTGAAATACAGTGTATGGAATCGGAGAGGCTCGAGCAAAGAGAATGAGATGTATGCAGAAACCCTCTGCCCCACTGGGATACCGAACCTGGGAACACGGCCTAAACTGACTTGTGATTTGAGGCATTCAGCACATACATAACAATGCCCAAAAGGAGAACCCTGTATTTTGCTGTTTTCAGTAATTCTCCAATGTTGTAGGAGAGGAGGGCAGAAGTCAGTCGCTGGAGTAAATATCTGGATAAGCACAGTGAAGATCAGGAAGATGGGGAGGAGGAGGCGGGTACAGAAAGACAACAGTCCTGTTCCCGGAGGAGGAACGCTGTGGAAGAACAAAGGTACAGACAGAACTTCTTATTTTGGGAATTCCTGCCCCCAAGCGGTGACATTTGGTTTGGAGGTGTGGGAGACAGCTGAAGAAAGTACAAGTTGCAGTGTATGACCTGAGCAGGGATTCAGTATTTGTGGATAAAACTTCTCTTATTGCTAGAGCCATGCCTTTTATGAACATTTCTGGTGATATGTGAAAAAAGTTCACAGTGGAGCTAATCTGTTGCCTTTGTGGATGTTTCCTTGGCCAGGAAACGGCGGGTTAGCTTCCTCTCCTGTGATGTTCAGGAGTATGCAGAAGAGAATGGAGTTTTCCAGCTTGCCTACCGAGCCAAAAAGGTTAAAACTGCTGAGGTAATTTATTTCTGGAAGATGCTTCCCACCAGTAAACCAAAAAAGTGTTCTCCTGACCTCTTTTGTGTCATCGTCATTTTGAATTTTTATGAGTCTTCCTCTGCTCTTGTATTTGAATGACTGGGGAGGAGAAGGAAATTGTGTCAGGAGTTTCTCCCTGGAAGGTTTTAGGCAGGTGAAACCAATGGCACCTTGTGGAGGCTGAGCGGGATCCCTCCATCAGCCCAGCTGCGGTGTCCGCTGCTTCCCTTCCTGCGCCGCGGCGCTGGGTCGCGTGCCGTCAGCGCAGCTCCTGCCGTGACCTGCAGCGCCAGTGAAGCTGGCCTGAATCTTCACAGCCTGGAGTTCGCAGGCCCACCCAGCACACCAGCCTCAGCTCTGGTGATAATTTGGGTGCATTTGAAGGACCTGAGTCCTCTTTGCTTCTGTGCCGCTTGGCTGTGCATGCTGGATTTATAACCAAGCTCTGTTGCTTCTTACAGCGCAAGAAAAGTTCGGTAGCAGTGCCTGATCGAAGTGATGGAGATGCTGTTTCTGGAGACAGTATGGTTCCTGCTGCATGTGAGTCCGTAGTGCCTGAGGAGAACACACAAACCCCAGCTGCTTGTACCAAACCCTCAAAGTGGGAAAAATTTCTCTCGTGTTCTGACAACTCCAGTGAAAATGCTGCCAGGGTCACCTTGTCACCACAGGAGGGCAGTGGAAGGTTGGGGCTATGCAGTCCCCCTGCAGCAGGTGCTGGTATGGCCAGTAGCTGCTCAGAACAGGCTGCAAGAACTCTACCTCCAGGTGCAGGTTTTGAATTTAAAGAGTGTGGGGCTAGCACTGAGTGGCTTGCCTCAAACCTGCCTGGCACCGTGGCAGCCAGCAGCAGATGCTCAGGGGAGGAGGATGTGTTGTTCAGAGACCCTCAAAGCCCATTGATAAGGGCAGGAGCTGGCGGGGTAGAGACCACTGCAGGCAGGGGCTGTTTGGCCAGCACGAGGAAGGGAAAGGCCCTTGTTAACGCTAACGCTGGGCCAAAGCCTTGGAGTGTTTCTTATGAACACCTCTTCTGCACAGGTGATGAGTTTGATGATGATCTCTGAGAACTTCAGGCACCTCTGGCATTGCTTTCTTGTTGGTCTCTATTGTGTATTTGGTACAGTGAACACTGAGGCAAGATTTTGAACTGAAGGTGGCTTTACTCTAAGCCTTGCTTCAGTAACTGCACTATTAAAGCTGTTTACTTCCTTTATGGCTGTGGTTGGGAGATGGGGGAGGGTGGAAGAGATTTGCATTGGGCAAGTACTAGTGTTACACAGTGTTGTCAAGCAACCTCATCAGCTAGAAATAAGAATGGAAGTAGGTCAGGTTGGGGGAGAAAGCTCCCAAGCTCCAAGGATTCCTGGTCAGTACAATTAAACTGTGATTAACCCCCCCCTTACACACTACAGCTCTTTTCCCCTGTACTGCTGCTTTGTTTAGATCTCCCATAGCAACCCTTTCTTCCAGAGCTGCAGAGCCAGCAAAGCATTTGGTTTCTCTCCAGAAGTGTAGCCCTAAGGCTACCCCAAGGTAGGGGCAGAAAGGCAGACCTACAGTCTGGGCTGCCTCCCTTGCACAGGGAGCTGCCTGATGACATCACATGCTCTTTGCTTAGTCCCTCCCCTCTTTTAACTAAGTTACAGTAAACAATAGAGCTGGGATACTGAAACAGCCACACAGCCACATCATGGGATGTAGTATTTATTTTTCCTCCATTCTACAAGCACTTAGGAACAGGAGACAGAAATCCTTAGCAGGCAGAAAGATGAACCAAGAACTGCATCATCTGCTTTCAGTTAGAAGGAAAGTGCTTTTTGTTACACAGACTATACTACAAGTGCGGTGGCTGCTTGGAATATTGGATAGCATCTAGTGCTGCCCCGATGTCGCAATTCTTTGTCTGCAGGAGCCGAGTGAGCCATCCACCCTCATCAGAGAAGCCCATAGAGAGCATCTGGGACAGAGATTCAATGAGGCGAGGGTCTGCTTCTGTTGAGAGAATAGTTTAAAGCTGAAATATTTCACATAATGGCAAAACCAGCCAGGCTCTAATACCACACCGTAGGTAGGCTGGCACTAATCCTAGAAATCCAGCATAGCTGATGACATGCTAGAAGACATGCTCTCCTTTGTCTCCCATGAGGGCAGATGTCTGAGACAGAAGATACACAACCAGCTAAGAAAACCGCTGAGCTGGACTCAGCTGGCCTTGCTGTAGGACTCTGTGCTGTTGATCTCAGTTAAATGGCCTTGCATACCGTTACTGGCTCCCACCAGAAAAATGCTGTCCTCAAGTCACAGGATGTACTGGTCTGCACCCTGCATTAAAAGGCTCTCTTGAAGAGTACATAGCAAGGACATGATGTAGGGTACCACCTTTTTTCAAGCTGCTCAAATGGCATATGAGCCTAAGGTCAGAAGACTCTAAGACTTAGCTGCCCACATTCAAGAGAAGAGCCAGACTGTCTCTAACAGGGTAGAAGAGCTGCCATACCTGCTAACAAAGTTACAGGCAAGTTTAGCTGTAACTTCAGTGACCCTCTACCATCTCGGCTCTAAAAGCAGGTCTGCTTGTCAGCCAAGTTTGCAGTTCAAGTGAAAATTCTCTCTGCTATGAAACCCGCGGATGTTCTCATACCTGGTGGGAGGTGTGGGTAGAGTGCAGCTTCCCGCAGTCCCGTAGGTCCTGGCTGGGGAGGATCCTGAGACACATTCAGGGAGCTGGGACCCTCCGTCTCTGGCATTTGCAGGGACTGCAGCTCTCCTGTGGAAGGATCCACTTCTTTGGAAGATAAGTGGGTCCAGTCCTCATCGCCCCCTGATGAACTGCTGGACTCGCTGTGTTCCTGAAATGCAAAGAAAAAAAGGCCCAGCTGCTGCAGTGCTTCCCAGGTAGGATGCAAGTTCCTACTATTTGCCTTTAATATAAACAAAAAGTCCCACAACTTTTGCTGTAAACCTGTAAAGCAGAGGTGCTGTGTACCACTTAATCTGCTGACACCTTAGTATTCAGTCCCACAATGCATGCTAAATGATTATCTTCCTTTTCAGTAAAGCCTCAGCAAGCACTATTAAATTAGTGTCACAGTTCTTGTACCTGGGAGTGGAAGCTGCCATCTTCCATTTGTGTGGGCACAGGATCTATCACCATGTCTTGTATCTGCTCTGCAACACCATTTACTTCTGTAGCAGAATCTGTGTTACTCCAGTCTGGTTTGGTCTGAACGTTCTGGTTAAGAGTGCTGCTGCTTGACTCAGCATTGTTCTTCTCTTGATTGGAAGAAACAGGAGTCACTTTGCTTCTCTGTCCTCCATGTTCCACATCAATATCAACTTCAATACCTGGAAATGTGTTTGAGATGGAGAAAGCCTTACAGAGGTTTTTCCAAAGCAGAGACCTAAATAAGCATGGATCAGTCCTGGTCTAAATGCTCTTACGGTTTCCATAATCCTACAGTTTATCATGTAACATGGAGGAATTAAAGTGCAAAGCATTCTCTAAACAAAGAACAGTTAAGCACCAAATAGTCATCTTCCTCTAGACAGACAGGCTATACATTAGAAGTTATCTATGTCCACATAAGCCAGGCAAACTCATAGTCACCACTGACTTAAAATTAGCTTACCATGGTGACATGTTAATGGAATCTTTTCTCATCTCCACCCAAAGGAGGGCTCTGAAAAGGTACCGAGTGGCCGTTCTAAGCCTAGGCATTATTAGTACCAGGAGTAAATTAAGCAAGCCTTCAAGGCTCAGTAGCATGAGGTAGTTCTGGTATCGGCCACAACAGCTGGCTGCTGCTCCTGTTAAAAGGACCTTGAGGCCAGTCTCAGGGACTGGGATAACAAACTGTAAGTCACTTACCCAGGGGGCTCAGAAAAGCTGCAACACTCTCCCCAACATTCTTTAAGAAGGTGACATTGGGGTCCTGAGGCTGGCTGTTAGTAGAAGCTTCTAGAAAAACAATTTCTGTTAGCACACATAGAAGCTCAGAGGGCAAGAGCACCGACAGAGCGTATCCCCATGAGATCTCGGTGCTCCTTTCCTGTCACTCACACACACTGCACAACAAAGGCTGTACAGAGACAAAAACTCACTCTGAGCTACCCCTGGAATAGAAAACCAGTGGCATTAGCGTCGTTAAGGCTCATTAGCCATGCTGAAAGGCAGATCTGGAGTACAGTGACATGCTTAACCTAACAGCTCGGCTTGGTTTGGTTCCAGATACTCTGCATCCTCATCAATTGCATGGGCCCAAGCGTGCCTTAAGAGAATCCCACTCTGTGCTCAAAGGTGCTGATCGTTTCAAGCAAATTCGCTTAGTTCCTATGTCTGTTTTTCCACCCAAATTCTAGCCTGTGCTGCAGAACCTCAGCTACCCTGGCTTCACCACCACCCTGTTTACCAGGGCATCTCCTCTCACCTTCTGCAGCGGGTGGGCTGGAGGCTTCAGCACTGGTTTGGGCTTGTTCAGAGTTCTGGCATGGAGCTGCAGGGCCAGGATATCCCCAGCAGTGCATCCACGGGAAGGGAGGAACACCGTGCCGCATTTTACGGAGCCAGCGTCCTCGGGGAAGCCACTGTAAAAGGGGAGCACTCATGTGACTCTGTTCACACAGCCAGACTCTGAGTAACTGAAACTTACCACTTAAATTTGAGAATTATCCCATTCATTAGTTCCCCTCCATAGATTCTGCTCACCTCAAACGGATTTAGCAGTGGACTCTGGAACATCACCATGTTGTGCTCCTTGTGGATGCCTTTACCCTCACAGGTGCTGCACAGGTCATAGTCTGGACAGACGGTGCACTTGAACCTGGCACCCACCACCGGTCCTTCGCAGCCGTCACAGATCACATTGGGGTGCACCATGTCACGAGGAGGCTCCTGGCTGCACTGGGAGCGATGCTCCCGCCTGCACTCCTTTTTCTCTGTTAAGGAAAGGAAAGGAAACTTTGCATCGAGAACGAGGTTACTATTTAAAGGCTGGAAATCAGGCAGAGGAGAAGGAAGCACAAACAGCCCTTGTCAGAGCAGTATTGACTTACTAGGTCAGTTTATTTTTACACTGGCTGCAAAACCCAAGCTGGGGGCATGCAGGAGAACTTATACCTATGAGTGTGAAGGGGTTTCACAAAGATACCTGCTCCTCAAACTGAGCATGCCTTATCCTTAACAGTCTCCTGGCGTGTTTATTTCAGATTAGCACTGCACTACCCCATCTGGCTTCTCATCCTACCTTCCCGAGCATGGCAAGAACAAAATGTTTCTGGAAAGGGAGTTAGAAACAAATGCCAGGAGGCACAACAGATGAGAACAGGGGCAACAGCCGCTGGCTGCCTGACTCATTCAATGGGCTGCAGATAAAGCTTTGCAGGTACCTACGGGAACAGAAGGGACTAGGGAGCAACTATGTCCTGAAGAATAAGCCGGAATTAAGGCTTCCTAACGCACTGTTGTGAATATTAAGGTACCAGTGCCTGGCTCATGTTTCCAGGGAGCCCACATGACAAGAGTGGCTCGCATCGGGCCAGCTGAGATGCCAAACCCAGGAGGGAACTTGTGATTTGCCTAACCCCACCTTAGCAGGGAGGATTCCTGTTCTGCCATGTTACCCTGCCCTTTATTTCACCTCCTCCCCGAAGGCCGCAGGTTACACCAGGCCCTTGAGGACAAGGGGAAGGGTCAGGGCTTGCGTCCCCCCTTTCCGGAGCCCGGCTCCCGCCCTGCGCAGCGGTGCGGCCTCACCTTTGACATAAACACGAAAGACGCCGTCCTGCACATACGGCATCGCCATCTCCAGCTCCTCGTCGGTGGAAAAAGCGATCAGGTCCCCGTCTTCATCTAGAGGGGGTAAAGCACAGGATCAGGTGCCCGGTCAGGTGTCACGGGAGGCGCGG